CCTACTTTATGGCTACAGATAGTTATTGCTAACTACAGCGTACAGCATCTGGCCTCCAAATCTCCATCCCGTTACTGCTGCCTGCTGCCCTGTCAGCTGCAGCCTTCTGGTAAATCTCAGCCCTTGAAACCCGTAACTGGCAGGTCCAGGGAGAAGGCAACTTTTTGCCATTGGTTCTTGCTATAATTTTCTACTGGTTCATTGCCTCCAAATCTCCATCCCGTTACTGCTGCCCCTCTCTCTGTCAGCTGCAGCCTTCTGGTAAATCTCAGCCCTTGAAACCCGTAACTGGCAGGTCCAGGGAGAAGGCAACTTTTTGCCATTGGTTCTTGCTATAATTTTCTATCTGTGAAGGTAGTAAACACAGCAGTCAAATCGCTTTTCAATTGTATTTTTCACCAGCTAACCGGATTATATCATGTGCTCCGCAGTAAGGCATTTCCTCTATTTCTCAAATCACTTCTGTGGCTTGTCTCTGAATTTTCAATGTCTTGTTTCAGCTGTAGATACCAGAAGTGCATGTCCAGATCATTGTCTCTAATGCCGCCTTGGTGGTATAATCGCATCCTTCCTCTTAACCATTGCCCTTCTGTCTAAACATTCAAAGATAAAATTAGCTCTTCTGCAGCGTTGCGCTGGAAAATACAGTCAAGTTACCCATCTGTTGTGATCTCGATGCTTCTAGCAATACTGCTTGCCAGACTATTACGAGTGTGTTTTATATTTCTTGCTCTTAAGTGTAATTTGCAGTTTGCTGCTCTGAAATAGTTAAAAGTGCTCCACTTACCAAGTAATCTAAATCACATTCCAGAGCTGCTATATCCTTATTATTCACCATTCTTTGTCATCCGCAAATTTTAATCAGTTTTGATTCACATTTATGTAATCACTGAATAAATTAGCCCCCGGACTTGAAACACCAGTCCCTGTGGAAGACCAGAAGAACGCTCCTGTTAGATAATGATTCACCGCTTCTAAAAAAACCTTGTCAGCCAGTTTCATGGACTCTCAAAATGATGCTGCATGGTAGTTTCTCTGTATGAGTGTTTGGCGGTATAGCCATGCCGTCTCCCAGAAACAGCACTGCGGTTCAGCGTCGAGGACCTAGTATCACCCCAGGAGCAGTGATTACTCCTGTGGTCTGAAACCAGGGGCAGAAATAAGCCACTGCCATTTGTGTAGGTATGCGGTGTGTAACGGCCAGTGTCGGGTACGTTTTGTACGACACTTAAGTTGCAGTCTATCAAGAGGCTCTGCGCACAATTGTTACATGTATAGGATGTTCATCACCCCAACAAGAGTACAGTAAGCTCTTAAATACCTGAAAGGGTTGAGTTTTGGTAACATAGGTGAGTCATCTAACAGGTGGAGACAATAAAAGATTCAGTCTTGCAAGACGTAACTGGAAGGTGGTTTTATTTCCTTTCCCTCTCTGTGACCTCCTGCGTAACTGCCTCGTCTGTATTTCGATTTTTAAAAAAATCATTCTTATTTACTTACATTTCCTTTGACCTGCCTTATGTTAAGCCTGTTCTCAAGGTACTGGGAAAGCCGTGACTTTCCGTATCTCAACCCTGTTTTGCAAGCATCCAAGAAATAGAGCCACTGAGTTGTGCAAGACATTTTGGAGGCTGGTAATAGAAGCTTCTGTCTTGAAGACAAATCTTCAAGTGACCAGAGCTGCCAGGTATAGTTTGTGTATATAATCAGCATTCATGTAAGTTTTGTAAAAGCTGCTTACATCTCACGAGTTACCTCCACCTGCTTGCCTGATAATTTGTCAACACTGAGATCAGCTGTTCTCTTTTTAAAATTGATTGGAACTATTCTATTCCTATCATTAATTTCTTAATTGAAACCCTTACCAGCTTTTCTGTGGTTTGACCTCGTCTTTTAGGACATACGTGGTTTATAGCTGTTCTTTCTGAATAGTTGTGCTATTCAGAATATAGCACTCCTGTTAATA